CTTTCCGGAAGATTGTAATTAATATTTTTCCGGAAAGTTGTAATTATTTTTTTTCCCGGAAGGTTGTAATTAGTTCTTTCCGGAAGGTTATACTATTTTTTCCGGAAGATTGTAATTAATATTTTTCCGGAAAGTTGTAATTAGTTCTTTCCGGAAGATTGTAATTAATATTTTTCCGGAAAGTTGTAATTATTTTTTTTCCCGGAAGGTTGTAATTAGTTCTTTCCGGAAGGTTATACTATTTTTTCCGGAAGATTGTAATTAATATTTTTCCGGAAAGTTGTAATTAGTTCTTTCCGGAAGATTGTAATTAATATTTTTCCGGAAAGTTGTAATTAGTTCTTTCCGGAAGATTGTAATTAATATTTTTCCGGAAAGTTGTAATTATTTTTTTTCCCGGAAGGTTGTAATTAGTTCTTTCCGGAAGGTTATACTATTTTTTCCGGAAGATTGTAATTAATATTTTTCCGGAAAGTTGTAATTAGTTCTTTCCGGAAGATTGTAATTAATATTTTTCCGGAAAGTTGTAATTAGTTCTTTCCGGAAGATTGTAATTAATATTTTTCCGGAAAGTTGTAATTATTTTTTTTCCCGGAAGGTTGTAATTAGTTCTTTCCGGAAGGTTATACTATTTTTTCCGGAAGATTGTAATTAATATTTTTCCGGAAAGTTGTAATTAGTTCTTTCCGGAAGATTGTAATTAATATTTTTCCGGAAAGTTGTAATTATTTTTTTTCCCGGAAGGTTGTAATTAGTTCTTTCCGGAAGGTTATACTATTTTTTCCGGAAGATTGTAATTAATATTTTTCCGGAAAGTTGTAATTAGTTCTTTCCGGAAGATTGTAATTAATATTTTTCCGGAAAGTTGTAATTATTTTTTTTCCCGGAAGGTTGTAATTAGTTCTTTCCGGAAGGTTATACTATTTTTTCCGGAAGATTGTAATTAATATTTTTCCGGAAAGTTGTAATTAGTTCTTTCCGGAAGATTGTAATTAATATTTTTCCGGAAAGTTGTAATTATTTTTTTTCCCGGAAGGTTGTAATTAGTTCTTTCCGGAAGGTTATACTATTTTTTCCGGAAGATTGTAATTAATATTTTTCCGGAAAGTTGTAATTAGTTCTTTCCGGAAGATTGTAATTAATATTTTTCCGGAAAGTTGTAATTATTTTTTTTCCCGGAAGGTTGTAATTAGTTCTTTCCGGAAGGTTATACTATTTTTTCCGGAAGATTGTAATTAATATTTTTCCGGAAAGTTGTAATTAGTTCTTTCCGGAAGATTGTAATTAATATTTTTCCGGAAAGTTGTAATTATTTTTTTTCCCGGAAGGTTGTAATTAGTTCTTTCCGGAAGGTTATACTATTTTTTCCGGAAGATTGTAATTAATATTTTTCCGGAAAGTTGTAATTAGTTCTTTCCGGAAGATTGTAATTAATATTTTTCCGGAAAGTTGTAATTATTTTTTTTCCCGGAAGGTTGTAATTAGTTCTTTCCGGAAGGTTATACTATTTTTTCCGGAAGATTGTAATTAATATTTTTCCGGAAAGTTGTAATTAGTTCTTTCCGGAAGATTGTAATTAATATTTTTCCGGAAAGTTGTAATTATTTTTTTTCCCGGAAGGTTGTAATTAGTTCTTTCCGGAAGGTTATACTATTTTTTCCGGAAGATTGTAATTAATATTTTTCCGGAAAGTTGTAATTAGTTCTTTCCGGAAGATTGTAATTAATATTTTTCCGGAAAGTTGTAATTATTTTTTTTCCCGGAAGGTTGTAATTAGTTCTTTCCGGAAGGTTATACTATTTTTTCCGGAAGATTGTAATTAATATTTTTCCGGAAAGTTGTAATTAGTTCTTTCCGGAAGATTGTAATTAATATTTTTCCGGAAAGTTGTAATTAGTTCTTTCCGGAAGATTGTAATTAATATTTTTCCGGAAAGTTGTAATTATTTTTTTTCCCGGAAGGTTGTAATTAGTTCTTTCCGGAAGGTTATACTATTTTTTCCGGAAGATTGTAATTAATATTTTTCCGGAAAGTTGTAATTAGTTCTTTCCGGAAGATTGTAATTAATATTTTTCCGGAAAGTTGTAATTAGTTCTTTCCGGAAGATTGTAATTAATATTTTTCCGGAAAGTTGTAATTATTTTTTTTCCCGGAAGATTGTAATTAGTTCTTTCCGGAAGGTTATACTATTTTTTCCGGAAGATTGTAATTAATATTTTTCCGGAAAGTTGTAATTAGTTCTTTCCGGAAGATTGTAATTAATATTTTTCCGGAAAGTTGTAATTAGTTCTTTCCGGAAGATTGTAATTAATATTTTTCCGGAAAGTTGTAATTAGTTCTTTCCGGAAGATTGTAATTAATATTTTTCCGGAAAGTTGTAATTAGTTCTTTCCGGAAGGTTATACTATTTTTTCCGGAAGATTGTAATTAATATTTTTCCGGAAAGTTGTAATTAGTTCTTTCCGGAAGATTGTAATTAATATTTTTCCGGAAAGTTGTAATTATTTTTTTTCCCGGAAGGTTGTAATTAGTTCTTTCCGGAAGGTTATACTATTTTTTCCGGAAGATTGTAATTAATATTTTTCCGGAAAGTTGTAATTAGTTCTTTCCGGAAGATTGTAATTAATATTTTTCCGGAAAGTTGTAATTAGTTCTTTCCGGAAGATTGTAATTATTATTTTTCCGGAAAGTTGTAATTATTTTTTTTCCCGGAAGGTTGTAATTAGTTCTTTCCGGAAGGTTGTAATTAGTTCTTTCCGGAAGGTTATACTATTTTTTCCGGAAGATTGTAATTAATATTTTTCCGGAAAGTTGTAATTAGTTCTTTCCGGAAGATTGTAATTAATATTTTTCCGGAAAGTTGTAATTATTTTTTTTCCCGGAAGGTTGTAATTAGTTCTTTCCGGAAGGTTGTAATTAGTTCTTTCCGGAAGGTTATACTATTTTTTCCGGAAGATTGTAATTAATATTTTTCCGGAAAGTTGTAATTAGTTCTTTCCGGAAGATTGTAATTAATATTTTTCCGGAAAGTTGTAATTAGTTCTTTCCGGAAGATTGTAATTAATATTTTTCCGGAAAGTTGTAATTATTTTTTTTCCCGGAAGGTTGTAATTAGTTCTTTCCGGAAGGTTGTAATTAGTTCTTTCCGGAAGGTTATACTATTTTTTCCGGAAGATTGTAATTAATATTTTTCCGGAAAGTTGTAATTAGTTCTTTCCGGAAGATTGTAATTAATATTTTTCCGGAAAGTTGTAATTATTTTTTTTCCCGGAAGGTTGTAATTAGTTCTTTCCGGAAGGTTGTAATTAGTTCTTTCCGGAAGGTTATACTATTTTTTCCGGAAGATTGTAATTAATATTTTTCCGGAAAGTTGTAATTAGTTCTTTCCGGAAGATTGTAATTAATATTTTTCCGGAAAGTTGTAATTATTTTTTTTCCCGGAAGGTTGTAATTAGTTCTTTCCGGAAGGTTGTAATTAGTTCTTTCCGGAAGGTTATACTATTTTTTCCGGAAGATTGTAATTAATATTTTTCCGGAAAGTTGTAATTAGTTCTTTCCGGAAGATTGTAATTAATATTTTTCCGGAAAGTTGTAATTATTTTTTTTCCCGGAAGGTTGTAATTAGTTCTTTCCGGAAGGTTGTAATTAGTTCTTTCCGGAAGGTTATACTATTTTTTCCGGAAGATTGTAATTAATATTTTTCCGGAAAGTTGTAATTAGTTCTTTCCGGAAGATTGTAATTAATATTTTTCCGGAAAGTTGTAATTATTTTTTTTCCCGGAAGGTTGTAATTAGTTCTTTCCGGAAGGTTGTAATTAGTTCTTTCCGGAAGGTTGTAATTAGTTCTTTCCGGAAGATTGTAATTAATATTTTTCCGGAAAGTTGTAATTAGTTCTTTCCGGAAGATTGTAATTAATATTTTTCCGGAAAGTTGTAATTATTTTTTTTCCCGGAAGGTTGTAATTAGTTCTTTCCGGAAGGTTGTAATTAGTTCTTTCCGGAAGGTTATACTATTTTTTCCGGAAGATTGTAATTAATATTTTTCCGGAAAGTTGTAATTAGTTCTTTCCGGAAGATTGTAATTAATATTTTTCCGGAAAGTTGTAATTATTTTTTTTCCCGGAAGGTTGTAATTAGTTCTTTCCGGAAGGTTGTAATTAGTTCTTTCCGGAAGGTTATACTATTTTTTCCGGAAGATTGTAATTAATATTTTTCCGGAAAGTTGTAATTAGTTCTTTCCGGAAGATTGTAATTAATATTTTTCCGGAAAGTTGTAATTATTTTTTTTCCCGGAAGGTTGTAATTAGTTCTTTCCGGAAGGTTGTAATTAGTTCTTTCCGGAAGGTTGTAATTAGTTCTTTCCGGAAGGTTATACTATTTTTTCCGGAAGATTGTAATTAATATTTTTCCGGAAAGTTGTAATTAGTTCTTTCCGGAAGATTGTAATTAATATTTTTCCGGAAAGTTGTAATTAGTTCTTTCCGGAAGATTGTAATTAATATTTTTCCGGAAAGTTGTAATTATTTTTTTTCCCGGAAGGTTGTAATTAGTTCTTTCCGGAAGGTTGTAATTAGTTCTTTCCGGAAGGTTGTAATTAGTTCTTTCCGGAAGGTTATACTATTTTTTCCGGAAGATTGTAATTAATATTTTTCTTCCGGAAGGTTGTACTTAATATATTTCCGGAAAATTGTAATTAATATTTTTGCGGAAGATTGTAATTAATATTTTTCGGGAAAGTTGTAATTTTCTTCTGGACAATTGTAATCAATTTCCGGAAAAATATAATTACTTTCCGGAAATAGTGATCAAATATACAAAATAAAATACAGAACATTCCGGAATTTTTATCAGGAATATTTTTTTGAAAAAAGATACAGTCCAATAATTACTTATATAAATCTTGCAGCTGGTGGCACCCCTGTTGCCTCATCAGGAAAAGCTACAGCGAACGGGAGCAATACTGTTCGTAACCATTTTTAAAATTAAAATAATATTTTTAGGATTTATCCTCTTCAAACTCAATGTGGAAAACTCCAAATGGAACAGTCGGGGCGAATGGTAAAGGAAGAATTTTTTAAAAATTTTTCGAAAATTTTGAAAATTTTTCAAAAATTTTTTAAGGCACATCATCCGGAAACGCAGCTGGAACCGGTCCCAGTAATGTTATGAGCCAGTCAAATGCTATGGCTGGGGCAAACTCGGCGTCTAACAATGGAAACGTAAATGCTGTCGGAGCGAATAGCAGAACATCGGGGATGAGTGCTTCAAGTAAAAGAAAAAATTTTTTAAGAGGCAAAAGAGTAATTTAAGACGTTAATGGGAATACTCTCAGTCAGTCAGGAACGGACTCCGGATCTGCCTCGGGAAAAGGCAATTCTCAAGTGATTGCAGACAACATGGGTTCTGTCAATGGAAATAACAGTAAATTATTGAGAGATTAGAAAATATAAAAAATTTTCTCAGCCGCAACTGCCAGAGGGAGAGCTGGAGCAACAGGCAATATATTGACCAACGTAGACTTATCTGTAGGGCAAACACTAAATTGGGGTTCGGTTATGTTTCAGCTGTCAGCTATGTCTTCTGCTTTGGGTAAATATACATACATATGTTGTTAAAAATTTTTTTAATAACAAAAAAAATTTAAGGAGAAAACAACTCCCAAGCGAATATAATGTTGAGTGGAAGTTCTTTATATAATCCAGGTATATTTATGAGGTCATTTTTAGTTACGGTCGGACCTTTATATTGTGTACCTTCACAAATGTGAGCTCCAGTGCTGGGTATGGCTCTGCCCGGAGCTGGCGCCGGAGCTATGATTTTAAAAGCCAGGAGCCGGAGCCAACAAATGCCCAATACCCAGCACTGGTGATCTCATTTACTATGAGTTGGGTGGTCACTCCGAGGGAGGCTGTCTAAGCTATACTCACAATAATGGGTACCCCTCATTTTAGTTTGCGATTTTTTCAAACCCCCAAGGAAGTACACACACGTGAAGTTTATCCGTAGAACTCATTAAAGTTACAATTAATTTATTATATTTTATAGCCCTCTCCGCCAATGGATTAGTGTCTGGAGTTAATGATAATGGTGGTGGAAATGTTTATTCGCGTGTTTCTGCTAATGGTCTTTTACAATAAAAATTAATTTTAAAATTATACGGTAAAGGTACTGGAAATGGCAACTCGTCGCAGTTGTCCGGGGATATGCTTGGAGGAGTAAGTTCGAAAACAGGTGGTAGTAGACTGGTTGGAGCTGAAACATTGACTTCTGGCAACTCAAGTAGCGTTACTTTTTTGTTTAAAAAATACAAAAAACACAATAAAACACAAAAATACAAAAAATACAAAAACACAAAAAATACAGAAAAACACAAAAAACACAAAAAAATACAGAAAAACACAAAAAACACAAAAAATACAGAAAAACACAAAAAACACAAAAAATACAGAAAAATACAAAAAATACAAAAACACAAAAAAACACAAGAAAATACAAAAAACACAAAATACAAAAACACAAGAAAATACAAAAAACACAAAAAATACAAAAACACAAGAAAATACAAAAAACACAAAAAATACAAAAACACAAAAAATACAGAAAAAAATACAAAAAAAATACAAAAAATACAAATAATTTAGATGTAAATTCATTCGGAAATCTTGTAATGAATGGATCGGGACCAGGTGAAGGTGGATTATGGGGAAATTCGAGCATTAATTCTGCTGGAGCTGTTAACGGCATGGTGGGTGTGCAAGGAAAAAGTAATGGAGCAAATAAGTCAGTTAGTGTAAGTGATGGTATTCGTGGCATCAATGGCAATGGAGCAAGCAGTGGTGAGGAATTAGAATTTAAAAATGCCAATTGTAATTGTAAAAGTATAGCCGGAAAATGCAAATTAATAATTGTAATTTACAATTCTGAAAATAACCGGAAAAATAAATTGCAAACACTTTCCGGAAAACAAAAAGAAAACACAAATGGGAAAAACACAATAAATGTTAATTTACAATTCTAAAAATACAACCGGAAAACACAATTTAATAATTGTAAAATAACCGGAAAAATATCCGGAAAAACACATTTTAAAAATCTTTCCGGAAAAAGAATATACAGAATTGTAATTGTAAAATCACAACCGGAAAAGACAAATAAATATAGGTAATTGTAATTACAATTCTGAAAACAACCGGAAGAGACAAATTGTAAAAAATCTTTCCGGAAAACAAAAAGAAAATACAACCGGAAAACACATTTTGATAATTGTAAAATAAAATTGAAAAATAACCGGAAAAACAGTGTAAAAATCTTTCCGGAAAAGAAGCAGAATTAAATATTCAAGCTGTAAAATACAACCAACCGGAAAACACAAATTACTTAATTGTAAACTATAATTCTGAAAATAACCGGAAAAACACATTGTAAAAATCTTTCCGGAAATAGAAGCAGAATTAAATATTCAGAATTGTAATTGTAAAATACAACCGGAAAACACAAATTATTAACATTAAATTACAAGTCTGAAAATAACCGGAAAAGTAATTGAATACCTGAAAATACAACCGGAAAATACAAATTAATATAGGTAATTGTAATTACAATTCTAAAAATACAACCGGAAAACACAATTTAATAATTGTAAAATAAAATTGAAAAATATCCGGAAAAACAAAGTGTAAAAATCTTTCCGGAAAAAGAAGCAAAATTAAATATTCAGAATTGTAATTGTAAAATACAACCGGAAAACACTAATTAATAAATTAAAATTCTGAAAATAACCGGAAATAATTAACTACCGGAAAATACAACCGGAAAACACTAATTAATAAATTACAATTCTGAAAACAACCGGAAAAATAATTATTGAGAATTGTAAAATACAACCGGAAAATACAAATTAATATAATTGTATTTACAATTCTGAAAATTACAACCGGAAAACGCAAATATGTAGTAAATCTTTCCGGAAATAAAACACAAATACCGTATTTCTTCTAATAGTGCGACCGGTCGGTTTATTTTTCAACCATTCTCTAGAGGGTCGGTTTATTAGAAGGGGTCGGTCTGATAGAAGGAGTCGCACTATTAGAATAAATACGGTATGTATTTTAGCATTAAATCTCTAAATTTTATAAAATTCTAAATTACAACCGGAAACTATTCTATGCGGAAATACAATTAAAATAGGTTTCCTCTTTTAGGTGGTCTAGCTAGTGGGAACATACAAGGAACAGGAAATCAAGATGGGTCTGCTTCATCTTTTGTCGGTGCAAATGCTGGATATCCCCAGACAGGTGTAGGTGTGGGGTCTGCGGGCGAATCAAAAGCAACGAATGGAACACCTTCAATGTTATCAATTGATGATAAAGGAGCGTTGCTTAATGGAACGGGAATGGGGGCTAATGGTTTAAGAGGAAATTTCTTTCTCTAAAATTTTTAATTCTAAGGTACAAATATGGTTAACGGTAGAGTAACAGGACAGTCATCCTCTGTCAATGGAAATACATTTATGGGGCTGAGTAATACTGGTAACTCTGGTAATTCAACGATTTTAGCCAAAGGAGGAGGGGCTGGTAAATAATTTAAAAATTTTTGGTGATTTTTAAATTCAATTTTAGGCCCTTCAAGTGCTCTAACTAATGCAAATTTGCAACTGGTTGGACCTAATGGAGTTCCACAAAGTGAAAATTAAAATATTTTTTTATTAAAATTAGGTTATGACTGAAAAATAGGGGAAAATATTGGGAATAATGTCAGTTTTTCGACAAATAACTTTTAGTTTTTTGACCTTCAAAATTTAAAAATCTAGGCAGTTTTGTAACAAATTTTGTCCTCTATTTAACCTCTTTTTATTGGGTAATGTGTTCTAGTGATGTTCGAGAGTCTCGGTCTCAACTCTCGAGTCGAGAAATTTCTCGGGTTTTTTGAGCTCCCGGTCTTGACTCTCGGTTTGGTCTCGGTCTCGGGGTTGATTCTCGGTCTCGGTCTCGACTCTCGGCTTTTTTTGACTTTCGAACATCACTAATGTGTTCTTGAGTTATAGGGTAAAGACTCGAGGAAGGTTGTAAGGGTTAGTTTAAGATGTAGAAATAATTCCGGAAACAAAAAAAATAAGAAAAATTTTTCTGATTTTTAAAAATAGTAGATATTCTACTAGCCAATACTTCAAAAAATTTTTTACTCAAAAAATTTTTTAAAAATTTTCCTAGCCGAAAACATTCGTGGAAGTGTGGACGCAACAGGAGACAATACAAACGTTTCTAGTATTAGCCAACTTGTCAACACAAACGGAGTCCAATCCTTATTTAACAATCAACAATCGGGTGTCCAAAGTAAAGGGGCGGCACAGTCTTCGGCTTCTAACAGTGCCGTATTAAAAAGAAAAAAAAGAAGTGAGGAAGAAATTTTAAAAATTGAAGGGGAACGTAAAGCTAGGTCAGCAGAAGAAAACAATTCTTTACGTCAGTTGCTTGAAAAGAATGGAAATGAACAAATTGTTGCTTATATTTAAAATTAATTTTAATATAATATTCTTATAAAACTCGAGTGAATTTTTCCATAAATACTGTATTTTAATTTTTGTAAAATATTGAAATTGAATTAAATTTGTTTGGTGAGGACATACTCAAGAAAAAAATTTTTTAAGAAAAATATGAAAAGGAAATACAATCAAATGACTACTCATTCGATTCGTCTTGTCGAGCTGAATCGAATGATACCAAAATTAAAATTATAGGAGATAAATGAACAGAGTTATAAGCATTTGCCCTGAGGCTATTTATAGAAAATTAACTAAAAACATCAAAAAGTTCAATCAAATGACTACTCATTCGATTCGTCTCATCGAGCTGAATCGAATGATACCAAAATTAAAATTATAGGAGATAAATGAACAGAGTTATAAGCATTTGCCCTGAGGCTATTTATAGAAAATTAACTAAAAACATCAAAAAGTTCAATCAAATGACTACTCATTCGATTCGTCTCATCGAGCTGAATCGAATGATACCAAAATCAAAATTATATGAAATAAATGGACAGAGTTATAAGCATTTGCCCTCAGGCTATTTACAGAAAACTAATTAAAAATATCAAAAAGTTCTATCAAATGACTACTCATTCGATTCGTCTCGTCGAGCTGAATCGAATGATACCAAAATTAAAATTATAAAAAATAAATGAACAGAGTTATAAGCATTTGCCCTCAGGCTATTTACAAAAAATAATTGAAAAAATTAAAAAAAATTTTAGATAAAAGGTGAAAATCTGATTAAAAAATAAAATTTTAAATCAAGTTCTCGATCGAGTATTAGTAACATTAGAATGAGTAACAACAGTATTAGTATCCATTCTCCTTCTATGCTCGACTTGATCCAATGTTCTAACCATAGAAACTACAACTGGATGTTGTTGTCCAGGTTTGATACAAAATAGCCAGCCAAGATGCTTATAGAACGCTGTGTTGTATTCCGTGCTATAAAATTTTTTAAAAATTTTTGGGGAATAGGAAGGATTGAATTTAACCTAAAAATAACTAGAACAGGTAAATTGCTGCTAAATCCAATCATGTAAAGACATGTAGTAGGAAAACTGATATAATATTCACTAGCAAAAGCATCAAAGCTAACATAGGTTAAAACTACTCTCCAAATTTGTCCCTTAAAGATATTTTTAATTTAATTTAAATCTAAATTTAGAATGACTTTTAGGGGAGGGAGAATATGAGGGAAGGCGTACCTTTGTGAGAGAACATGGAGTAAATTTAATTTAAAAATAATAGATAATGAAAGCCTATACTAATGAAATTTTTCACACATATTTTAGATAATATTATCTAATATTTGAATAAATTTCAGAAATTTCGACCAAGTATTTCAAAAGTTATGGGCGAAAAAATTGAGATTTATGGGAGAACCTGGTCAATTTTCGACCATAACTTAAGAAATATTTAACCAAAAATTCTGAAATTTTAAGAAAAGTTTGATAACATCAATCAGAACATCTATACAAAATTTCAGGGCTCTAACTACTCATTTAAGTGTTTTACAAGCAACTGCGCCATAAGCGGGCTGCGCCGAAGCGTAGTACTAAAGTGAGAGAAACTTGCCTGTAAGAAGATAAAAACAGAAATTCCCATTAAAATGGTTAATGATTTAATTAATTTCTTTGAATTTGCCACTTCTTTAAAATTTAGTAAAATTATCATTAATTATCTTTCTGACACTTTTTACCTTGAGAAGATTTTTTAATTAAAATAATTAACCAAATAGTGACATAACAACCAAATTCGGTGAAAAATATAACTAGACCTTCATCATAGACAAAAGGGCCAGCTTCAGGTGTAACAACATCCCCTGTTGAGCACATTACCATGCTTAAATATTTTAATAAATATAAGTATCTTTAAAGGGAGGCTCTTAACTATCTCAATACCCTCTCAGAGTCTTTATTGGGGAGTTCATTAGGCAGTCTTTTATCAGAAAAGAAACTTTTAATGCTTCACCCTAACATTTTCTTGATCGAAGCCCTGTCCCAACCTCCCATCTTTACTTGGTTCTAATTTTATATCCAAAAAGATACGGGGGACTTTTTTTATTCTTGGAACCAATGAGTTGGGGAGCTGCCTAAGAGGTACTTTCTTTGTACCTGCCATTGGAGAGGGGGTTTAGGAGGCACACCTGAGAGGGGGTTTAGGCCTTAGAGGGGTTTTTTTTAAACCTGAGAGGGGGTTTGGTACACCGATTTTTTAGTCCTAAAGGTGTACAGAAATTGGAGGGTGTAATTGTTAAATTAATTATTTACTTATCGGGATGTAGAGAAACACCATAAAAATAATAACAATTAACAACAAAACACCGAACAAAGCAAAAAATGAAAAGAATTGAAGTAGATATGTAAAAATCGCTGTCTCTATACCTTTAAATTTTTTGAAATTTTCAAAGAAAAATTTTTTTCTCAACCAAAAAGGAAACAAAACACTAATTAATCTATCCACTCCAACACATAATTGTGCACTTGTAGCCAATCCAGCCCCAATTAAAGGTAAAAAAGCAAAATAATAGCAAGTTTTAAGTCTTATAAAATTAGTTCCAGAAAATAAAACAAAAAATTTAACGCCAGAAAAAAGTTGTAAAGGTGTTATAGTTAATGAATTAAATGCTAAAAGTAAATTACAACGACCATGGAGGGATCTTGAAAAAAGAAAATAATTTATTTGAGGATTGAAGTATGATTTTGGGGAGAAGGAATGGGTCGGGCGATGTTTCAGCAGAAACTAGGATTATTTAGATGAACAATATCCACCATAACTACTGATAACCCTCACAATAACTCTAGGAATATAAGTAGGTGGGTGAGAAAATTGGATTTTCAATTAAATTATATAGAGATTGAAGGGCAATTTTAAGAGGAAGAGGGGTGGGTTGATCGAAGTCAGGGTCGATCGAGCTAAAAAAATTAATAGGATAATATGTTCGGTTTAAGTTCTAAGACTATTATGAGGCAAAATAATATCATAGCTCTTAATATCCTTCGCAGTATCTTGATTTAGCGATTTCTATCTGAGAGGAGTATAGAGGATCTATATCTGAGAGGAGTATAGAGGTCTAAAAAAATTTTTAAACAACGCCTAAGCTTTTTACTAATTTGTTAAACTCATCCCCCATTAAGAAATAAAAATATTATTTTTTTATTAAAATATTAATTACAAACTTGCTCTTTTTAGTCAAATAAACAAAAAGTATATTCAAACAAAACCCAGTTAAACTCAATATAAAAAGTCCCCCATACATTGCAACCATGTTAGGTATGAACCCAGCATTGGCCCAATAATTGTAAAACTTGGGGAAAAATTATTAAAGTTATTATTCAATTTTAAAGGATTTACAGGGCTTGTGGTAATTGTAGTTAAATTGTTATTAGATGTGTTATTGTTGCTCATTTTAAAAAATTAATTTAAAATAATTTTTAAATTTAGTTTCAACGTTGCCTAAATTTTAAAGTTCTTGCGAAACAAGGAAAAATTAAATTAATACAACCGGAAAACACAAAATTAAAAATTGTATTTTTAAGGATATCAAGAAAATAGAACCGGAAAATAACTATAAGTTTCCGGAAAAATACTAAACTGGAATCAGATATCAGAATTGTAAATACAACCGGAAAAAGAAATAGACCTTTCCGGAAAAATACAACGGAATTAAATATCAGAATTGTAAATAAAACCGGAAAAAGAAAATACAACCGGAAAATAAAAATAAGTTTCCGGAAAATAAACCAGAATTAAATATTACAATTGTAAAATAAAACCGGAAAACACAAAAAGGAATATTCTGATAAATAACTTTCCGGAAATAAAATTTCCGGAAATATAAATTAGTAATTGTAAAATAAAACGGAAAAAATACATACTTTCCGGAAAAATACAACAGAATTAACTATCAAAACTGTAAATACAACCGGAAAATACAAAAAGAAATATTCTGATAAATAACTTTCCGGAATTAAACTTTCCGGAAGTATAAACTAATAATTGTAAAGTGTAATTGTAAATACAACCGGAAAACATATACATTCCGGAAAATACAATTATTTTTAATGTTCTGTAATATTCTGTAAAAATTTTCATATTTAATTTAAAATTCTGATTTTTTTACAACTCTAATTTATTGGATAAATTGGATAAATAATTGCCTATTTTTATTAAAAAAATTTTTTTAATAAACAAAAAAATTTTAAAAAATATGAAAGTGACGATAAATTACCGTATTTTTCCCAATAGAAGCGCACGTCCCAATATAAGCGCAGTCTACGAGGAGGTTGAAAAATAGAAGCGCATGCGCTTCTATTGGGAAAAATACGGTAATTATATACCTATGTATGTATAAGTGCCTATTATATACGTATATTAAAAAAATTTTTCTGATCCAATTTTAATTTTTAAAGTTAAATATATTTATACTTTTATTCATTAAAAAATACATTTACTAAAAGTGAAACATTATTAGCTTTTAAATTATAAATTTCCATTAAAATAGTTTTTAAAATTAATTTTAAAAAAATAAAAATTAAATGGAGCAAAAACATTTTTTTAGTAAAACTATTAAATATACTGTAGATGATCAGGTACGTTTTAGAAGACCAAAAATTTTTCAAGACTCAAGAAAATTGTTTGGAATTTTCAGCGCTTAAGGCAAAAATAACACCACGAGCCTTCGGAGGCGGGAGTGTCGGGGATCGTGGTTTGGCGTGGTAGAGCCTTCGGGGGGTTCGGGTGTCAGCTTGGGGTGGTCGATACCCTAGAATATATAAATGTTGAACACGCATAATCTCCTAAAAATAAAACTATTTACAATTGTTTATTACAAATCCTGAAATTTATGTTCCGAATCTAACAGTTGGAGCATTGCCCAACAGTAAGAACCTAAAACACTTCTAATCAACAACCCAGTAATTCAACAGAAATGTTAAAATTTATTTTGGCCATCTCAACTCTCACTTCATTTTCTCCTA